TTCTTATTTTTTTTTTTTTTTTAGTATTTATACATCTGGACCTTGAATCTGTAATAAAGTATCTATCTAATGGGAAACAAACTTGGAGGATACTCAGAGACATTTTTCATTGAGGAAATCCGGAAGATTTGTGATCAGGTGAGTTTCAGTCTACAGCCTCCACTGGTCTGTGCTTCAGTCTAGATTTACATCACATTTTATTTCATTCGCTCACAGGTGAAATGCCAAGTCAAGGAAAAGACAAAGAAGGTATATCTGGAGTTCAGAGCAGACGCATACAGGTATCAGATTGTGCAAGGAAGAAACTACCTCATCAAGGTAATTAATACTGTGGTATTATTTATACTGTGATACTGAGGTGAGTTACAGTGCCTTGCGAAAGTATTCGGCCCCCTTGAACTTTGCGACCTTTTGCCACATTTCAGGCTTCAAACATAAAGATATAAAACTGTAATTTTTTGTGAAGAATCAACAACAAGTGGGACACAATCATGAAGTGGAACGAAATTTATTGGATATTTCAAACTTTTTTAACAAATAAAAAACTGAAAAATTGGGCGTGCAAAATTATTCAACCCCCTTAAGTTAATACGTTGTAGCGCCACCTTTTGCTGCGATTACAGCTGTAAGTCACTTGGGGTATGTCTCTATCAGTTTTGCACATCGAGAGACTGAAATTTTTGCCCATTCCGCCTTGCAAAACAGCTCGAGCTCAGTGAGGTTGGATGGAGAGCGTTTGTGAACAGCAGTTTTCAGTTCTTTCCACAGATTATCGATTGGATTCAGGTCTGGACTTTGACTTGGCCATTCTAACACCTGGATATGTTTATTTGTGAACCATTCCATTGTAGATTTTGCTTTATGTTTTGGATCATTGTCTTGTTGGAAGACAAAGCTCCGTCCCAGTCTCAGGTCTTTTGCAGACTCCATCAGGTTTCCTTCCAGAATGGTCCTGTATTTGGCTCCATCCATCTTCCCATCAATTTTAACCATCTTCCCGGTCCCTGCTGAAGAAAAGCAGGCCCAAACCATGATGCTGCCACCACCATGTTTGACAGTGGGGATGGTGTGTTCAGGGTGATGAGCTGTGTTGCTTTTACGCCAAACATAACGTTTTGCATTGTTGCCAAAAAGTTCAATTTTGGTTTCATCTGACCAGAGCACCTTCTTCCACATGTTTGGTGTGTCTCCCAGGTGGCTTGTGGCAAACTTTAAACGACACTTTTTATGGATATCTTTAAGAAATGGCTTTCTTCTTGCCACTCTTCCATAAAGGCCAGATTTGTGCAGTATACGACTGATTGTTGTCCTATGGACAGAGTCTCCCACCTCAGCTGTAGATCTCTGCAGTTCATCCAGAGTGATCATGGGCCTCTTGGCTGCATCTCTGATCAGTCTTCTCCTTGTATGAGCTGAAAGTTTAGAGGGACGGCCAGGTCTTGGTAGATTTGCAGTGGTCTGATACTCCTTCCATTTCAATATTATCACTTGCACAGTGCTCCTTGGGATGTTTAAAGCTTGGGAAATCTTTTTGTATCCAAATCCGGCTTTAAACTTCTCCACAACAGTATCTCGGACCTGCCTGGTGTGTTCCTTGTTCTTCATGATGCTCTCTGCGCTTTAAACAGACCTCTGAGACTATCACAGTGCAGGTGCATTTATACGGAGACTTGATTACACACAGGTGGATTCTATTTATCATCATTAGTCATTTAGGTCAACATTGGATCATTCAGAGATCCTCACTGAACTTCTGGAGAGAGTTTGCTGCACTGAAAGTAAAGGGGCTGAATAATTTTGCACGCCCAATTATTCAGTTTTTTATTTGTTAAAAAAGTTTGAAATATCCAATAAATTTCGTTCCACTTCATGATTGTGTCCCACTTGTTGTTGATTCTTCACAAAAAATTACAGTTTTATATCTTTATGTTTGAAGCCTGAAATGTGGCAAAAGGTCGCAAAGTTCAAGGGGGCCGAATACTTTCGCAAGGCACTGTATTAAACAGAAAGATCCTCAGTATTCAACAACACAGTAATAATATATTTGTTGACACTTTCCTTCTCTTTTGCCTGCAGGTTTGCGTAGGTAACAACTACCTTGAACAAATGGTTATAACAAGAGAGGGAAACTCATTTTGAGAAAGACAAACTGTGAACACAGGCTATACACTGCAAAAAATTGGGAGTGAAATTTACTTGGAAAAAGCTAGGCAACAATTTCCACACAGAAGTTCTAAGTAAATTTTATATGGGATAATCCCAAGTAAATTGTACTTAAAGACACAGAGTCGTTTCTATAGATGTACTCAAGTAAACTTTACTTGAAATTTTCTGTTACTGGTACTAATTTTTACTCACTCTTTCTTAGTAACTTTTATTTAGACTTCATTTGCATAAATACTTGGCTTTGTTCACTTTTATTTCATTTTTATTTAAGTAATGTGTACTTAAATTTGAATTATAATTATAAAAATAAACCTTAAAAAAAATACACCAACACACAAAAGACAAAGACTTCAACAGCAGCATCTTTATTATGTGCTATAAGCTTCCAAGTAACACCTTAATTCACAACAAACACAGACTGGTGAATTAATAGACAACACAGCACCTAAAATCCTGCTGATGTGACTTATCATGCCTTTTGATGGTTAGTTATCAATTGTTATGAGCCCCATAATTATGGTTCACTAGGAACCTACTACCAATAGGCCAGAAGTAATTAAGCAATTAGTAAAGTTGGTAGTTGGTCATTTTAAGATCAACAAAGTCCAGAGAAAGAGATACTTTAAGGGTGTATTGGAACAGAAAGCAGGCCACTGAATAACATGATCACCCATACACAAAACTGTGCAGCCAAAGTACCTTTTGGAACAATTTCGGCTTACAGTGAGTAAATGTAGTTTACAAAGACATTTGCCGTCTTGGGCCAATTCCTTTTCATCTCAACATTGGTAAAAACATTTAACACTTCAAGAGAGCTTGACCTTCAGTACAGTGTACAAAAACATTTTCTTGTTGCCTTAAAGTGAAAAGGCTTTGAAAGAGAACAGGATGTAAATCACTCACATAACTTAAACCCAGGAAAGTATGCTAGAAGTTTTTTCTGCAAAGACTGGACTTTGGGAGATATCTTAAGGACATCAAGCTCAAGAAAGAGCTTCTGAAACACTTCAAATGTGTATTTCAGTTTTGGTGGGTAGCTTAGGTTCATAGCGTAGACAAAGGCCTTGAGCAGAGGGCAAGCCTTTGCCACATATCTACAGCTATCAAGAACCTCAGTTCCCTCGATGATGATCAACACATCAGCAGGAGTAGGGCCTTCGGTTGCAGCACTTTCACGGATAACAAAGATCTTCATGACATGTTTGGCATAGCCCTCCTTGACAGTTTCTTTGACATCCTGTCAAAATATGAGTATCTGTACTCAGATGCATATACTGTACATAGTTTTACAAACTTCCTGACTATGCAATAGAAGTCTTGATTAAACTGGCCATTTAATACTATACACATACAATGATGGAATAGAAATACAAAACTAGAAACCAAACATTGAGTAAATGTGCACTATGTAGTCACTCCTCCATCAAGCAAGATTTTAAGCATGAAGGTACATCTGCTGTGTTCCAAGAAAGAAGTGAAACAGCTGAGTATATTGGATTCAACACAACAATGGACAGTGTCTAATTATTCACTCTCGTGAATACTTTTCATAGAAGCAGTAGGCTTTGGGTTTTACAGGCTCCAATTCATATGCATAAAATGACATTTGAGTCAGAAATAACAGGGACAGCAGAAATAAATGACAAAATCAATGAATAAGTGAAATGCTAAAATGTTTACTATTTAGATATTAAAACCAAAGTTGAATATTGAATCAACAATCATCAGAAAGCAAATGTCAAAATTTACCTGGTAATCTTTGAGAAGGTCCTCTCCAGACTGAGGAACTCTATCAAGCAGCGGATGACAGCATTTCGTTTACCTTTCACATGCTGCTGTTTCAACTGATGGAAAAGATATTGCAAAGAACATTATTGTACACAACTAAGCTCACATGCATACAGAAAGAAAGAGTCTGCTGCAAAACTAACCAGAGAATTTTAAAAGGCTGTCAAAAATGTCAAATTAAATCGACTGCGATTCAGTGTTCTTAAAGTAAATAAATACCATCTGAAAGCATCCAAGGTGGTGAACACTTTATAGATACTGCACATCCTCCTTCTTGAAGGTGACAATGTACAGTTTTGTTCAAACTATTTCAGAGAGGTGTTATATGCTCATACAGCAGGATGTAGGATGTGAACTGTGCTGCTGTTGAACTGTAATGCAATACAATAAATTACATCCTGTAAAATAGCCATCAAGGAGACCTGCCTCTCTTCCCCTTTCTCTCTCCTGCTCTCTCTCATCCTGCAGGCTCAGCGACACAATTGAGACGCATCACCTGCTAATTTACTCTCTGAGTGTATGGCACAGCTGAAGCACATCCCCTCATTACCTGACAGCTCCCTACTTAAAGCCCCGGCAGAAGCTCCTGCCTTGCCAGATCATTGACATTCATATGGTGATGGTGACTATGTTAATGGTGACGTAACATAACATATTGACACTGATACGGTAACATTGACGGTGAGATCAAGTTTTTATGTTGTTTCACATTGGCGATCTTCGCTGCTGTTAGTGACGGCCATACGAGGCCCCATGAAGCTTTGGACCCTTTTGGACCATTGTATTGAAAATTGGTTCACTACTCTTAGCTTCATTCACTGAGCACGTGGGTGACATCTGCTGGCGCAGTGGTTGTTGTACAGCCTTGCAAAGGTGACGCTGATGCACCTTGCGTGTGCACTGAGTGTTGTTGTAATGTGGAAATTATGTAAATAAAGCTGAAATCTAACATTTTACATCTCTGTTTTTCTTACTTGCCTTACAAAGTATCTGAAATGAAATGTTGACTACCTAAGTAATCCTCCTTCCCCAAGAAATCTTAAGAATATGAAATGGATTTATAATTATTCATCCCAAATTACACACTGGACAGAGCAAATATTTACAGTGTTCAATGAGGCTGTGGATGTAATTAATATTCTGATAATATAATATGTGTTCTGATTGTGCTTGGTGTACACTGAGTGTGTTTGTTTGACTCAGGCATTTTTATTCAAAAATAATAGTGTCTCCACAGTAGATGGTTTTAGACGATGATTTCGCTTTTTTGAGACAACTTCCCCAGCTTTAGAGAAGACCTTTTCACACAGCACAGAAGATGCTGGTGTCGCCAGGAACTGTTTGGCCAGGTTGAACAGGTGTGGGTACAGGGATCTGTGCATCGTCCAGTAACCTAAGGGATCCTGTGATCTGTCCAGAGGAGGAGCAGACAGATATCAATGAACCTCCACAATGGCATCTGTAGTAGTGTTCTGGGATTTTCTGGCATCTTCTGTGTAGTGGTTAGAAATAAACCAG